TGGGCTTGCTACGAATTTTAAGAAATTTCTCTCAGAACGAACGTATGTTATTGTTTTTTTTTATTCCCCATTACCAACACCATATTAGATGGTAATAACAGAAAAGAGCACTAATGAGACTATCATTAAAACCATCACCTGCTCAAGTGAATAACTCTGCGGTAGTTTATAAAATGTACAACCCTTATGTAATGAATAAGTTAACTATTACCGATATCTAAAATGATTTGTACACATACAGAATATTTATTTTATTCCTAGGACTTCTGTCGACGTCTGTACTGAGGCACAATGTAGCGTCAGATGGACCTCCAAAATTCACCCCTCCATCCAAACCAGTTATCATAGACAAAACACAGAAAGAAGCATCTCTGCGACGGTATGTATGTTGTGAAATAAATGCATATGATTATGTTTTAGTTTACACCTGCCAGCTTATTGAGGTATAACAGGTTCCTTAGAAAAGGTTTACATTACATTAAAGGGGTCATATGATGCGATTTCAAGTTTTCCTTTCTCTTTGGAGTGTTACAAGCTGTTCGTGAATAGATAAGATCCCTAAAGTTGCAAAGACTAAAGTCCCAAAACCAAAGAGATATTCTTTATCAAAGTTAAGACTCTGCCACGCCCCCCTAAAACGGCTCGTTCTAACACGCCCCCACATATCTACCTCACTATGTGGAAATATTTGCATAATGCCGCCCAAATGTGCACGCAAAGAAAGAAGGCGTGGTTTCAGTAACCGCAGTTAGTGTAGAAGAAGCCATGCCGGGGAGACACTGTGTTTCTAGGCGAAAGCAAAAGCACTTTATTTGGCCTTCCGAAAGTAGATGCATTTAGAAATATTTAAGATTACTTTCAACAGAACAGCAATGCATTTTATGGACGACCGTTTCATGAACCTAGGAGAGGAGGTAATTCTGACTTTGCTATGACAATCTGGTGCTTCTGAATCAGCTACTGTTTTGTTGTTAGTTTAAGTATTTGCTATTGACTGTTCAAATGCAGAGTTTTGCGTATCGTGTGTGTGTGAAAGGGACCTACAATAATGTACAGTATTTGAAAAATAATGTGTTTTTTGAACATTAAAGCATGTCAACATATTCTGTTACACCAAATACACAAAATAATGATCTTTAAAAAAGCATCATATGACCCCTTTAACATGTATTCATTTGGTAGATGCTTTTATCCTTACAGTTACTTACAGTTGAGGAATACAAGCAGCGATGTATCATAAGATGGCAATAAACACGAGAACACGAGTGCCAGTTATACAAGGTTTCAGTCATCGTTCAAAATAGTAAAAAGCTAGGAGGATAATAAGAGAACAGAATAAGTGAAGGCACATAATAAAAAAAAAAAAAAAAAAAAATATTAGAGGCAGTTAGATGCTCATTGAAGAGATTATTGGAACCTGGAACCTTTTGCAACGTTTGTAGATATACAGTATAAATGATTGTTAGCAAGACTGTAACTATGTTAAAGGAGTAATGAAAGAAATAGTTAAAAAATAGAATTTACTGTAATCAATTTGATCTATTTGCACATAATATTTTATTTTAAAATATGCAAACATTCACTTTTAATTCTATGCCTAATATGTAGAAAATTACATGAGCCTAAATTTTGGCAAAATTTGCATCGCTGGATATTACTGTCAGCTGTTTAATATTTCTATTATAAAACCTTTATTAGTAGCATGTTTCATGATTCAGTTGCTTTACAAAATAAATGTTTGAATAGGTTTTTGAGTCCAGAGTTCATCCCTCCTCGTCAGCGCACAAATCCTGTGAAATTTTCAATAGAACGGAAAGACATGATACAGAGACGGAAAGTTCTCAACATTCCAGAGTTTTACGCTGGTAAGAAATACTGATGATTGTAACACACTACAAGACTCCTCTATTTTATGGTGATGTGTGATTGAAAAATGTCCCTCTCTGTTCCTCTTTAAATATTCTCTTTATTGTTTTATGTAGGCAGTATTTTAGCAGTGACCATGACTGATCCTCATGTGAACGGGAACATGAATCGTTTCATTGGAATCTGCATTCAACGTTCTGGAAAAGGATTGGGTGCTACTTTTATTCTTAGGAATGTGGTCGATGGCCAGGGTAAAAAAAAAAAAACTTGTAACATTTAATTTTAAATTTTAATTTAGTTTTGTTTCATTATCTGTTCTGTTGTGCTGTGACAACTAATACATATGAACAAAAATGAAAAATATCTACAATGATTAGTCGGGAAAAAAAATCTGCCATTCACGTCACTTTACAGTAATGAATAATGCATTTATGTGGACAAAACACGTATGAAATATAGCGGAGGACACAAAGTGAGCTGCAGGACCCAAACTGTTCTAAACATGAGAATACTTTATCTAACGTATTTTGAATGAAAGAGCAGGTTCAGTGCTTCAAATACCCTCATACCCATATAGCTGATAGTTCACACGGCTTGCCCTGTCAGGTGCTTTGACAGATGAGTTTGCTATTTGTTTAATACATGTTAATAAGTCGATATGCAAGTATGCATGTTTAGTGCTTTTTTGTAACTTTATTATGGTGGGCAAAATGTAATGCCTACATACTGTACAATAGGTAGATTCTTCAGTTTGCACAGTTTTGATGACAGGATGATAGGATGTAATAACTTAAAAAAAAATAATTAATGAAAATAAAATGTGGCTTTTAATCTGATTAATCAAATCCATAATTGAAGGATTCATTGATTATCAAAATAATCATTAGTTGCAACCCTTACTGTTCAGATTTAAACTGGTTTCACTTTAATTGTAGTATCTACTATACGTGAAATCTAATGCTTTTTTACTTTTTTTGCCATTTTGTTAAGAATTTCATGGTAATAGGTTTTCGTTTACTGTAGGTGTGGAGATATGCTATGAGTTGTACAGTCCACGTATGCGCAAGATTGAAGTGTTGAAACTGGAGAAGAGACTGGACGACAATCTCATGTACTTGAGAGACGCTCTACCTGAGTACAGCACCTTCAACTTTGACATGCAACCTGTCCATTATGAGATAACCGGAGATGTTCCGGTCAATCTGGTAAGATGTTCCAGTAAAACATTTTTCATCTGTAGAATTCTGTAATGGTAAAATATGCCTACGGTGTTCAGCCACTAAATTTAAATAGTTTCCTGTCTGTTTCTCTCTTTCTCCTGTAGTTAAAAGTAAAAATGAGGCCGAAGCCGTGGTCTAAACGTTGGGAGCGTCCCAAGTTTAACATTAAGGGTATCCACTTTGACTTATGTTTGACCCCGGAGATGATGGAGCATGCTCAGAAGTGGGCAGAACCGTGGAGGCCGTACGATATGCTGAAGGAGTATGACACATCCAGCCTAGAGGAACATATCTTCAAGGAGGTACAGGAAAATCTCAGAAAGTGAACAGTCCATAGAAACCACTTCCAGCCTGGACAGAGACAATCCCTTTGAAGGGACATGAAGCTAAGTTGACTGTGGTGAGACATGCTAATGTGGTTCTTGTGTTTGCCTCAAAATGGATTCTGGAGATACATTCAGATGACCACACCTGATACATTGATACTTTTTGTGTGTGTATTTTAAGTGCATCTCACCAGCTCAACCGCTGATGTTATCTACAAATAACCGTCTTAAATTAAAAGAAATGCAATTATTTCTTTGCTGTTGTTTATCGTCTTGTATTTGTGCCATTAGTGTCTGCAAATGCAGTTGTGAATGCAGTGATCCTGCTGCCTTGCAATTAGTCACTCTGAGCAATAGAGGGCAGCAGAGAACTCTCCAAAAATATAAATTGAAATCTGAATAGTAAATCAAATATCCTGAATAATTATACCTTTCTTCCGTATTTAAAGTAATAAAAGTGCTTTAAAAAAAAGTTTTCATGTAGTCTAATTTTGCAGTTGTTCACAGTCTGAAAATGATTTACATTACCGTTCAAAGTTTGGGATTAGTAAGATTTTTTTTTTTTTAAAGAGATTAATACGTTAATTCAGCAAGGATACATTCAACTTCAAATAAATGCTGTTTTTGAGCTTTCTATTTATCAAAGACTCCTGAAAAAAATAATTACATTAATATAGGAAACTTATAATATTTCTTAATATTACCGCACTTAATGTTTCTCGTTTTTTTTTTGTATTTTCAACAATAAATGGAACCTTGGGGAGCGTAAGAGACTTTTTTTCCCTTTCAAAAACATTTAAAAAATCTTACCGACCCCAAGCTTTTGAATTGTGTATATGAAAAGAAAGAGGCAGTTTTTAACATCAAAACTGTTCTTAAAATGTGGTTTCTACATGGAATGCATGGAGTGGAATACATGGATTAATGTTAACTGAGAAACTCACTTAGATTATATAAACACAGCTGTTATTTTGACCCAGTTATCTATATGTACTACAGATTAAAGACTATTAAAGAGGAAATACATATTCATTTAATATTTACTTCCTCTTTAATAGTCTAGTTAATATGATTTTAATAGTTAATAGTTTATTAGCAGAGTAAAACAACTTAAACCAGCCTAAGATTGCTTTAGAGTGGTTCTGGGCACTTTTCAGTCCAAAGCCTAACTAAACCCAGCTGGGATACCAGCAGACATATTTAGGCTGGTTTGGTATGTTTTTTCAGCAGAGTGTTTTAATACAAAATTCTCAAGCTTTTGAAACAGCTGCTCAATGAACATCTCGCTATACCAAGCGCCAACTCTCCACTTAAAGATTTGAACAGATTTTTATATCAGTTACTTGTAATGTCCAGGCGTACTATTTCAGTTCAGACCCTCTGCTCGATATTTATAATCCACAGCGTGAACTTGTCACATTATTTTAGTGACATGTATTTTGTCCGAGCTCATCTGGAGCCGCTCTTGCTAATCCTCGAGCACATCTGTGCAGTGCTACAGAGAGCGACCGCGCGAAGCTCCGCCCATCCTGCTGTCGCCAGTGACGGCAGCCCCATCACTTGTGGATAGTGAAACAACGCCGCAGTGAGCAGGTACAGCCGATCCTTCACCTGGATACCAAACCACACATCGCCCCTTATCCGAGGATATTTCCGGTAACGCTGGCTCTGTTTTTATGAAATTACAATAACACCGTGTCGTTTTCTTTCGCGATATGCACGGTAAGCATTTATCTTTTGCCTGTAGGTTACTCTATTGTGATGCCTATTGCTAATATTTACAAACAGCTTATTCAATATGCTCTGTATTTAATAAGCATTTTTTTTAGAAGCTTAATAATTTTGTCCGAGAGAAAAGAGCGCAGTTTCGGAACAAAAGCCCGTAACGTGTTCGAGAAGGAGCGGAATCGCTGTCATTGATTTCAATCACAACGGTCAAACTTGTTGTGCAGGTTGTGAACTTATACAGCAACTCCATCCCATTTAAGCTCTATAATTAAGCTGAAACATAAGAGCTGGATGATTGTAAGTGTTTCCCAGCGGGACGCTGAGATGCAACACACCTGTCCCACTAGTGCACCTGCCTCCAGGACAGCCGTGTACATCTGTCCTCATCATCCAGCCTCAATCCATATAGAAAATGTGCTTATATTTACTAAATTAACGCTTACTGCAGAGTTCATGTTACATGGATCTTAATATGATAAAATAACATTTTCACAGGAAATTAAAATTATTTTAACATTTAATAAACTTGCAAGTATTATAGCAGTATTTTATTATGTAGATAGATAGATAGATAGAAAACTTGTTGTGCAGGTTGTGAACTTATACAGCAACTCCATCCCATTTAAGCTCTATAATTAAGCTGAAACATAAGAGCTGGATGATTGTAAGTGTTTCCCAGCGGGACGCTGAGATGCAACACACCTGTCCCACTAGTGCACCTGCCTCCAGGACAGCCGTGTACATCTGTCCTCATCATCCAGCCTCAATCCATATAGAAAATGTGCTTATATTTACTAAATTAACGCTTACTGCAGAGTTCATGTTACATGGATCTTAATATGATAAAATAACATTTTCACAGGAAATTAAAATTATTTTAACATTTAATAAACTTGCAAGTATTATAGCAGTATTTTATTATGTCGATAGATAGATAGATAGATTTTTTGCTTTTTTGCTTTTTCCTGTTTATTGTCTCAACCAGATATTCAGGACTGGTTGATTCTTAAAATATTACATTTGGTCCCAGTTAGCCTTGAAAAAACAATATTGTTTGGCCCTTATATATATTGGGGGGAGTGTGTTAAGTGAAGGCATGTATTTAGCGATTTAGCGTACAATGTTAAGATCAGTTATGAATGAACTATTCTTATTTTATACAGCATATCCCATGCATGTTTTACTGATTTTGGATCAGGAGGGCCAACACAACTTCGTGACTAGTTGTGAGTCAGAAAAGAAGTGTGTACCAGCCAATACCGATTTCATCATGTCGTTCATTAGTATTACTCAGAACTTACTCATAAGTAACTTCACACTGTAATGTGAAGTGTGACCCAGGCTATTTCCTTTGAAGTTTTTTAGATTCACAGACTGTTGTAGAAGTAGGTTATGTAGTGTGCGCCAACCGCCATATATTCTCATAACTCTCTTCCTCCAAGGCTAGCGCTGTTAATCAAAGCACAGAGGCTATAATCTGTTTCTGTTTCTCTTGCATCCTCTCAGTATGTGGGGCATGGGCCAGTCGCAGTAGTAAATATCCTGCGTGATGAATGGATGAGTCTAGTCAGGGGAAATATGCTGACCATCATTTATTTTCTCTTATCGGGATGTTGATAAACTCACCACTGTTAAATACATGAAGATATCATCGTCAGTTGTTTGTTAATTTGCTGACAGTCATGGCTTTACATGTAATGATCTTAGGTGGAGATCAGTTATTTTGTTTTAAAAGCATCATTGTTCTGGAATAATGCTGTGTTGTTTTAATGTTTGGTTAGATTCTCTCTGAGATTTTTTAGGCGTAATCTTTGTGTAAATGTTAGTGGAATTTATACCTTATTGTGATTGTCCTTGGAAGATGTAAATCCTTTACAAGTCAGAATTGTGCTGACATCACATGCATATGCAGACAAGGCCTTAAAGCATCTGTGCAGATTACATAATTTCCTGCAAGATTAATAGTAGTAATGTTCATGTATACAAGATGCATCTTATTGCACATTATCGTTTGGGGTCAGTGAGAACAATCCTGATAAAAATATATCCTTGTTTCCACAAAAATATTAAGCAGCATAACTGTTTTCAACACTGATAATAATAAGAAAAGTTTCTTGAGCACAAAATCAGCATATTAGAATGATTTCTGAAGGATCATATGACACTGAAGACTAGAGTAATGGCTGCTTAAAATTTAGCTTTGCCATCACAGGAATAAATTACAATTTGTATTCAAATAGAACACAGTTATTTTAAATTGCAATACTATTTCACAGCATTACTGTGCTTACTGTATTTGGATCAAATATATGCAGCTTTAGAAACCATAAGTGACTTCTTTTAAAACCATTAAAAAAATCATACTGACTCCAAACATTTGAATGGTAGTGTACGTAATGTTTGTATGGATATCTTAGAGTGCACAAATGAAAATGAATTAAAATATTGTGAATTTGAATTTAAAATGAATTGACATCAACTCAGGCAGAGATGTCATTTGCAGACAGACTGAAGTAAAAGTGCTTGATATAAAGTGTGTATGTGGATGGTTGACATGCCATGCTTTCTATTTGAGTTTCATATCTCGTTCGCTAGATTTTTCACTCTTGAATGCCAACCACCCATGTTCTGTGCGAGTACTGGTGTGTGTGTGTGTGTGTGTGTGTGCGCGCGAATCTCCCAGTGGGAACAGGGTGGAGTGCCCTAGAAATATGCCTTATATGTCACACACACAGAGAGGATAGCTTGGATGTTGGCTGCCCTAAATACCAATAGTACCGTGTGTGTGTGTGTGTGTGTGTGTGTGTGTGTGTGTGAGAGAGAGAGTTTACCAATGAGATATAAAGAGGAGAGAAAGGGATAAAGAAAGAGAATGAAATGGTGTGTGTGACTGTGTCCTCAAAACACTTTTTAATATAATCAAAACTGCGAGAGTCAAATTCTCTTGCGTCATCCAGAACACCACAATCACATACAGTGAATATCAGTGGAGTTACTGAGTTACAGTTACAAAACTTCACTGCTGTTCTTGTTCACCTTCAAATGAAAAAGTTTCTCTAAGCTTGTTGTGCACCTATGTTAAGGAGAAAAATAGATTCTGCATGTAATAAGAAGGATGTGTCTCTCTGAACTTAAAATAGATGTTTGCAAGTTGGGTAAAGTTGAGTAAAATGAAGTGCAGTAGAGAAGACAAGTGGTTCCTTGAACGTGCACGTTCAAGAGAATGTGGCCCCTGCCTTCTGTGCTACTGTTTATACATGCACACATGCTGAGAACTGTGAGAAAAAGCATGCTAAAGGGAACTGAAGCACAAGCGTTATTTGTGTAACTCCACTTTAGATATGTGTTGGTGATGAAAGTTGAGAGGTAAAAGATCTGTTGCTGCAGTTCTCCTGCCTGCATTACGATTAATAATAAAGTGTACAGAAATGTACTTGGCGTATTTGCGACTGCCATGTTTAGCCTGATTCTTTTCAAATCCTTTAATTTCATCTGCCGGCCATCTTGATAACAATATTTGGCAGCTATTTTTATGTAAGTAATGGAGATGTTCAATGTACTAAACATCTCTGTACTGAACAACTTGTTTTTGTCTCAAGTTTGCTGTTGTTATCAGTTATGGTTTTAGCTTAGGGTTTAGTGAAGGTGGTACATTATTTAAAAAAACAATAGAGCATTAACCATTTAGCTTCACTCACCAGACATTTCATTTCATGTCTGCATCAATGCGTACAACCAATGTAATAAAATGCTGGCAGATTTACGTTCATTTATTTCAGGTAAAATTAAACATGCTTTTTGTGTCAGTGACTGGACATTTAACTTAAAAAGTGTCACGAAACGAGCAAGAACCAACACAATATCATTTTGCAGAAACGTTATTGAGCCTGGGTTGCAAATTTGAGCTAGTGGGTTCCCACTGGTATTTTTAACATAATTTTAGAAAAGCTTTAATTATTATTATTATTATTATTTATTTAGTAAAATATGGTCTGTACAACATGAATTACACACAGCAATATCTCAAGCGTGATTTTCTAAGCTGCTGTGTTGTTTAAAAATATAAGTTGCTAACAAATTGCTTAGTAAGGGCAACTATAGTTGTATACCACAATATTTTGAGCTGGTGTTTTTGACGACTCATACAACTGTTGTCATCCTTATGTACAATAGCAACATCTTAACGTTTTTAAAGCTCACAGTGTTTCATAAGTTTTGAGTGAAATTAGTGTTGTAAAACTGTCATCAAGCAGTATTAATTAACCACAGAGCCTCAGTTAAAACCATGAAGGAAACCCATGGCGAATTGGCCTCCCATTAGCAAATTTGCCCCAAATTGACATGACATAAGTTAAGTGGTGTATGCAGTTTCCATCTTTTTAATGGGGAAAACAGAAATCTCCAAAATGAAAAGATTTTGTTTCAACAATGGCAATAAATTCGGCAAGAAAATCTGAAAACTGGTATAGTGAAATTAGTATTCATAGAATTAGCATTCATTTAGCTGCCTCACATTTCAGCTGTGGATGTGCTACTGTTCATTTAGTCAGCGTCTGGAGATTTGTATGAATATGAGTCTGCTAATCATACAGATATAATATAGAGAGTTACCACTCTATTTTAATTTGTGTTGGTGTTTTGCTACTCACTTTCACCCGTCGATACGCTGCTGTTTATTTTGCCAGCGTCTGGAGATCTGTATGAATATGAGTCTGCTGATCATACAGATATAATATAGGATACCACTCTATTTTATTTTGTGTTGGTGTTTTGCTGCTCACTTTCACCTCTGCAGCATCATTCAGTACCACTCTCTGAATGGCTAGTGTGGTCTCTGCTGGCATGTTTCATATGCTTGTTTCCTGTGTGGACAGAGGAGTCCTTATTCCCCTTCTTTGCACAAAGCATGCTGGGTAGCACACTCAGAACAGACATGTGCTGTGTGATGAGAGTGATATATTGAATGCTGATTTGCCAGTGCCACAGGTGTCCAT